ATTTATCTACTTAATAACCATAATAAAATTAATATTAATGTTTTACTTTTTTATATATATTTATAACAAAAAGGATATTAAAGGTATATTTTAAAAACACTAATTTAAATTTAAAATTGAAAAAAATCAAGAAATCATGATAATTAAAATATCAAAATTTATAATAAAAAATATAAATATTTTTAATAAATTAACACATAAAAACATTTTATGAATAATATTTAAATAATTTTATATAAAATTTTAACATTTAAAATACAAAGTATCCTAATTTCCACTTTATCTCTTTAAAACTTGCAATTTTATAAAGGGAAAAAAAAATTGCGAAAAAGTCAAAAATGAAAATTCCGTCAAACAGCCCTAATTATTAGGTTCAAAACCTTGATCCAAATCCGGTTGCGGCTGCCCTCCGCTCTGCTCTTTCAAAGCTATTCTCCTTTTCTCTTGCAATCGTGTTTCTCTACGTCTGCACTTGCATACATAATGGCTGATCCCTATTCCCTCATCGTTATTGAGGAGGCACTCTCTAGATTCGCTTCACCGCTCGACAGAAGAACCGGACAACTCGAGAATTTGAAGAAGGTGCTGGAGAAGCTGAAGGATTCGCTCAAATTGATAGAACCCGTCCTAAAAAATGCAGATCAAATGCAAAGTGATGAAGCCACAAGGGATTGGCTGCAGAGGCTCCAAGATGCAGCTGATGATCTGCGGGATCTGCTGGATGAGGATGCATATGGAGTTCACCGGCAGAAGGGTCAATTCAAGAAACAGGTGTACAGTTTCCTTTTTCCCTCCAAATCCATGCTTAGCAAAATTAAGGAGATTAATGTGTCTTTCGATAGAATTTTAGAAGAATCAAATTGTATTAGACTGATAAATCACAACCAAAATCGTGAAGCTCCTAGGCGAGAAGCTGATGAGTCATTTTATAATTTTGAAGTTTTGCAAAGGGATGATGATGTCTCAAAAATTGAAAGTTTGCTGGATGAGTTGAGCCAGGAACATCCCCTCTCTGGCCTTTCCATGGTTGGCATGCCAGGTGTTGGAAAGACAACAGTAGCTAGATCAATATGTGTGAGGGCAAGGGAAAAGCACTCCTCCAATCTGGTAGCCTTGGTGCCGGTACATAAGGATTTTAACGAAGAGATGATTTTAGGACAGATGTTGGAATCTCTTGATAGCCATGCTGGTGGAATGACAAATATTGGTCCAATACTTTATCATCTTAAACCAAAGTTACAAAGTAAAAAAATTCTTCTCATCCTTGATGGTGTATGGAATGAAGAAGATGCTCAGTGGTTGAAAGAGTTCATCTCTTGTCTGCCACAAAGGTTCAGAACTGCTAGGATCTCTGTTGTCATCACAACTAGTAATAAAGAGGTTGCTTCACTAATGATGGACCCAATTCCTTGGCGCAAGTATGAATTGCAAAAGCTATCAGATGAAGACTGCTGGTTGATAATGGAGGAGAATGTTCTCAGATCGTCCAACAGAATTTCAATAGAAGATCCACAGTTGGTGCTTACTGGAAAAGATATTGCAAAACAGTGTGGGGGTTTGCCATTAGTTGCAGCTGTCTTTGGCGAACACTTGGGCACTCGTATTGGGGTAAATGAGTGGTCAGCTATCAGAGATAATAAATCATGGCGTGCACCACATAGACGGGAGATTCTGTCTCAACTGCAAAAAAGTTATGATCACTTGCCTCCACATTTGAAAAAATGCTTTTCCTTCTGTTCAATTTTTCCAAAAAATTGTAAAATTAGTAGAGATGAGTTAGTTCAGCTTTGGATGGCTAATGGGTTTCTTTCCAAATCTAATGACAGCAAATCAGATAAAGAAGAAGATGTTGGTAACAAGTACTTCAATGATTTGGTATCCAATTACTTATTGGAAGACATGGATATGGATGAGTGTGGGAATATAAAGTTTTGCAAGATGCATGATGAGGTGCATAATCTTGCATTGCTTTCAGCCAAATATGAAACATATATTTGGCCAGATACCTATCCTGTTGAGGAGAGTGTTCGGCATATGAGGGTTCAGTCTGATCAAAACCTTCAAGCTGTTCCAGAAGGTGTTGCTCAAAGGTTGCACTCTTTGTTCTTGGATGTTAATGTTTTGCACATGCCTAGGAAGTTCAGAAGTTTGCAATCTTTAAAGCTAGCAGCTGCCGATGCAAATGATTTGGAATCTGCTCTTGGAAGATTGAAATATTACATGAAATACCTTGACATATCAGGAAGTGCAATTGAAGGACTACCAAAATCTGTCACCAAGCTCTACAATTTGCAGACTTTAAGATTCAGAGACTGCAATTCATTGGAGACGCTCCCAAGTGGTATTGAAAATCTAGTCGGCTTGAGGCATATTTATTTTGATGATGAAAGGCATGTGCCAAGTAGCATTGGGAAATTAACTTCTCTTCAGACTTTACCGCTATTTGTTGTGGGCACAGAAAAGGGTCGGAGAATTGAAGAGCTTGAAAATTTGAAGGAACTCAGAAGAAAACTGAAAATTTGCAAGCTTGAGCTAGTATCTCAATCAGAAGCTAGTAAAGCAAAACTTAAAGATAAAGGAAAATTGATCAAGTTGCAATTTGTATGGAGTAAAAACAGAGCCAACAGTGATGAAGATATGGGTGTTCTGGAAGGTCTTCAACCTCCCTCAACATTGAAAAGCTTAACCATTGAGAATTATAGGGGAGGCAGCTGCCCTTCGTGGATGATGAATTTGGAACAGCTTGTGAAGTTGAAATTGATTGATTGTGATGAATGTGGTGATATCTCATGCCTTGAACTCTTACCTGAGCTTAAGGTTCTCAATCTAGAGGCAATGCCAAATGTGAGGAGGATAGGCAAAATGTCTTATCATCAAAGTAGCAGCATGGCAAGCAGCAGCCAAGGCAGAGGAGATTCAATTGCACCATTTCCAGTTTTAAGAAAACTTACTTTAAGACGCATGACAAAGCTGGAGAAATGGACAGAAGCACAAGGCATGGTCATGTTTCCTTGCCTTGAGGAGTTGGATATTCAGAATTGCCCTGAGCTCAAAACATGGTGGGCAAGCAGCAGCCAAGGCAGAGGAGATTCAATTACACCATTTCCAGTTTTGAGAAAACTTACTTTAAGCAACATGACAAAGCTGGAGAAATGGACAGAAGCACGAGGCATGGTCGTGTTTCCTTGCCTTGAGGAGTTCGATATTCAGCATTGCCCCGAGCTCAAAACATGGTGGGCAAGTAACAGCCAAGGCAAAGGAGATTCAATTACACCATTTCCAGTTTTGAGAAAACTTGCTTTAAGATTCATGACAAAACTGGAGAAATGGACAGAAGCACAAGGCATGGTCGTGTTTCCTTGCCTTGAGGAGTTGGATATTCGGTATTGCCCCGAGCTCAAAACATGGTGGGCAAGCAACAGCCAAAGCAGAGGAGATTCAATTACACCATTTCCAGTTTTGAGAAAACTTACTTTAGGGTTCATAACAAACCTGGAGAAATGGACAGAAGCACAAGGCATGGTCGTGTTTCCTTGCCTTGAGGAGTTGAATGTTTGGGATTGCCCCCAGCTCAAAACATGGTGGGCAAGCAACAGCCAAGGCAGAGGAGATTCAATTACACCATTTCCAGTTTTGAGAAAACTTGAGTTAACCTCCATGAGAAACCTAGAGAAATTGACAGAAGCACAAGGCATGATCGTGTTTCCTTGCCTTCAAGAGTTGCATATTGAGAATTGCTTCAAACTTGAAACGTGGTGGGCAAGTAGCAGCAAAGGCAGAGGAGATTCAATTACACTATTTCCAGTTTTGAGAAAACTTGAGTTAACCTCCATGAGAAACCTAGAGAAATTGACAGAAGCACAGGGCATGGTCATGTTTGCTAGCCTTGAGGAGTTGGATATTCAGCATTGCTTCAAGCTCAAAACATGGTGGGCAAGCAGCAGCCAAGGCAGAGGAGATTCAATTACACCATTTCCAGTTTTGAGAAAACTTACTTTAAAGTCCATGAAAAATCTGGAGAAATGGACAGAAGCACAAGGCATGATCGTGTTTCCTTGCCTTGAGGAGTTGGATATTCAGGATTGCCCCGAGCTCAAAACATGGTGGGCAAGCAGGAGCGAAGACAGAGGAGATTCAATTACACCATTTCCAGTTTTGAGAAAACTTACTTTAAGCTCCATGACAAAGCTGGAGAAATGGACAGAAGCACAAGGCATGGTCTTGTTTCCTTGCCTTGAGGAGTTGGATATTCAGAATTGCCCCAAGCTCAAAACATGGTGGGCAAGCTGCAGCCAAGGCAGAGGAGATTCAATTACACCATTTCCAGTTTTGAGAAAACTTAGTTTAAGCTCCATGACAAAGCTGGAGAAATGGCCAGAAGCACAAGGCATGGTCGTGTTTCCTTGCCTTGAGGAGTTGGATATTCAGAATTGCCCCAAGCTCAAAACATGGTGGGCAAGCAGCAGCCAAAGTAAAGCAGAATCAATCCTACCATTTCCAGCTTTGAGAAAACTTAATTTAAGCAACATGACAAGGCTGGAGAAATGGACAGAAGCACAAGGCATGGTTGTGTTTCCTTGCCTTGAGGAGTTGCATATTTGGTATTGCCCCAAGCTCAAAACATGGTGGGAAGATGGATCTGCATGTCCAAATCTCTCTATACTTGGCATACAATCATGTCCGGAATTGCAGGCTATCCCAATTGGGCTGTCGAACTTAACATCTCTTGATATAAACAATTGTCCCAAATTAATGGGGTATGCTCAAGAAGGCAGCTACAAATGGTCATCCATTTGCCATGCTCATAGGATCAGAATCAATGGGCAGATTGTGCGATCCCAAAGATCTTGATTTTTCAAAGGTATGTTAAATCTATATTTCTCAATGCGATCTCTTCATACAATATTGTATTTATTTATCTAAATTAGGCTGGTGGTTGAACAGTTACATTTGTTTTATGATCTTAATATCTGGTTGAATCCCTTTATCCCAAAGATCTTGAGCCAAATAATAATCTAATTCTTTACATTCGTTTTATGATCTTAATATCTGGCTGAATCACTATCTTAGTGCATCTATCATTTCAACACCTTCTTGTCCATCTGATCATATATTATCTCTCTCTAGTGCCCTTTTCGAGACAACGCTGGATAAGGAAGATACAGATTGAGGATTGAAGAAAGGAATATATGCCATACGAACTTAATTTTACACAGGTAATTAATCTTTTGCTGATTGCTCTATTCTTGATTAATCTAGGGTGAATTTCTTACCCCCCTTTTAAAGCAACAGCAAGTTATATGCACCATACTTCTATTATATATTTGTTTTATATTAACTGATGGTTAAGTTACAAGCTAAAATGTCTTTAAAAATCTACTAGGAAAGTTAAAGTGATGTTTTGCAGCGTAATGACATAATTGCAAGCAATTTCTTCTTTTATCAAAGTTTAATTTCTGATTATATAGAGATCAGTGTATTGCACTCTTTCATTCATCGTGCTAATTTTGCTTCAGACAAAGAAGAAAAGAAATCTCTTCCTATCAACTTCTGCTTCTCATTGGCCTTGGGAACTGTCAAAATATTCAATTTTGATGGAATGGAAGGTTTGTTAGAATTGGTTGAGAGACCTCTTTTCTCCAGGAGCTGAGAAGTGGGTTTTGCACTAATTTGATGCGTCTACTTTTGCCAGGCCATGCACCCAATGCCTCTACAACAAACTAACAATCAAAGGTCTAGGTTCATGATTCTTATGATTGTTCCAATCAGAGGAAAGATGCGTGTGAGGAAGCATTGGTGAATGGTCCAAGATTTTCCTGAATCCAAGAACAAATGGTCTTGAGAAGGTATGTGTGGTTTATTAAACATCTATCATTTCTTTGAATGTATGTTACCCAGTTGAGAGTTGTTTCACAATATCCCCAGTTTTGTGTGTGTACTCAGGTGCATGTCGTCCCTAATTGAAGTGTCAAGGCATGAACTTACTGATTATGGAGATCTCTTCTAGCATCTGATTGTAGAAGTAAAATCAAATATATATTTATATATATCCAAGCAAAATGTTCCCACCCTGCAATTCTATGATTTTATCAAATGCCGCTTGGAGTTCATAAATAAAACTGGTGAGTTCTCAAATCGTCATGAGTTTTTCTTAATGACAAACCTTTTGGGTTCCAATTGCATAGCTCCTGATTTATTTTGTTTGGTTCTTATTTCGGACAAAATTCCCAGGTCATCTTGATACCTCTCTAAACTACTTTAGCAAAAAGCATCGAGTGATATTCAAGCCCTGGTAATGCTAGAATTCTTTTTGAAGATTTTATTATTGTTGTAACCCTCTAGTTTTATATGGAGAAGAAACTTTGTAGGAATGTTATTTCCAAAGCCGGAGTTTCCATCTGGATTTCCACGTAAAAAGATTTCATTGTGTGGCCGAAGGCTGACGTTCATAGGAGATTCAGTGCGATCTGGAAGTTTGGAAATTTATTT